CTGCATCAAATCAGGGGATTCATTCAAATGAAGGAACCAGAAGGAGGACTGACTATGTGCAGACTTCATATCGCTGCCAATTTTGCCATGTCTCACAGTACCCCAGAATTGGAAAGTATGTTTTACAAGCAAGGAGGTGACTATGAAGAATATGGTGTTCTGAAACCGGAGGAGAGAAATAAGGAATTGGAGCCCAGAGATTGGATAGAATGGGAAATAGGAGCTTGGAAGAAACCTGAAGCTATTGCAGCCAGAGAAGCTAGGAAGAAAAAGTTCTTAAAGAATGTGAGCTGGTCAAGATGTGAATAAAAAAAAAAAGATTGAACTGTTATTTATTGTTAGATCTCAATAAAAAAAGAAAAGAAAAAAAAATTGTGGGTTTTTTGTCATTTTTAAAAAATAGGTTATCTCCCTTTAACCATAGATTTTTTTTTTCAAAAACACAAAACAAAAAGTGTTGAGGGTTTTTTAAAGATTGGTTAAAAATAGATACAATTTTAAAAAAAAAAAAAGGTATAAATAGTAAACATGGTACAAAACACACCTCAGTTGTGGACTGGCTTCATTATGGGTAACACCTCCAGTAAAGAAATGAGTCAGAACACTAGATTAAAGGAAACTGAATGGTTACTTATACAGGAGGGAGGAAAAGATATCATACCACCTCCCTTGATGGTAGAACATCCTGCAGTATTTATACCACCTCCCTTGATGGAAGAACATCCTGTAGAATCTATACCTCAGGAGGAAAAAGAAAACATAAGACCAAACAACAAACTCTTGGAGGATATTAAGGCTCATTATCAAAATAAACAGAAAGAAAATACAGGCAATGGATATATTGCTTACTTAAAACAAGACAGAGGTAGAATAGCCAATAATTGGATATTTAATTTAACTGGGTGCCGACAGGAAGATGTAGATCAAATCATTGGAAGTGATTATCAATACTTGATCTTACAAAAAGAAAGGCATCCAGAAACTGGAAAACTTCATCATGTGAGAGGATTCATTCAAATGAAAAACAGAGTTCAAGGGAGATACATGTACAGAAAGATTCATAAATTAACCTGTTTTGAGATGTCTTACAGCACCCCAGAATTGGAAAGAACCTTTTATAGACAAGGTGACTATGAAGAATATGGAGTTCTAAAACCTGATGTGAGAAACAAAGAATTAGTTCCAAGAGATTGTAGATTTACCTGAATAAAAAAAAAAATCTTGTTTTATTGTGTTGTTGTTGTTGTTGTTCTATAAAAACAAGGGTGTTTTAAAAAATAGATTCATTTTACATCATGAGTCTCCAGGAGATACAAGGTGATTTACTCAACTGTGAGGTAGAAGCTATTGTTCATCAATGTAATTGTTTAACTGTAAAAGCTCATGGATTGAGTCAAAGTATTGCAGAGAAATTCCCACAAGCTAATCTCTATGCCACTCGCAGACCTCTAGGGACTAGAAATTTAGCCGTAGAAGAAGATAGAGGAATTCCAGGCACTATTAAGGTGTTTCCCTCACAAACCCCTGTGGTCATTTGTTTACTAGCTCAATGGGATTATGGAAAAGCAAGTCACCGACCTAAAAGAATTTCCACTTATCAGGATACCCCACAAAACAGAGAGCAATGGTTTCAAACTTGTTTACAAGAAATGGGGGAAAGTTTACCTTACCAGACTTATGCTTTTCCTTACAAGATTGCCTGTGGACTAGCCCAAGGAAATTGGATTCATTATAGACATTATATTGAACAATTTGTACACACTTATGAAAAACATGTGTACATTCTTCATCATCATTAATTGTGTGTTTTCATGTGATGAAAAAATAAAAAAAGTACCTTTTTAGCTGTCATACTCTAAAGTCCGTTTTAAACAGGAGATGAAGGTCCACTGCAATCCCCCCCCCCCATGCACTCATAAGCAGATCTCTGGGGGGTCAGTAGAAACACTCAAGTAGTTTTTCTTTCCCCTGTGATATAATGTCAATATTTTAATGGAAAATTCAGAAATTCATCAGCACTTAAAGATAAAAAAAAACTTGCTATCTTTATAGTATTGATTTCCATTATCAGATTTATTATTATTTATCCATTTTAAAAATATAAAACATTTTAAATAATTATCTTAATAATAATAATGAAAATAAATTAAAATGATATCTCATTGAAACTTTTTTAGATTCAAGTTTGTGTGTTTCTATGTTGATTGACTAACTATGTATTTCCAAAGGAAGACCAGCAGCCAGGCTTCACTTCACTTAGAGAATGGATTGGTTAGGAACAAAACATATCTTCCAGGTTGAGGACTGTATAGAAAAATAAAACCCATTTTTGTTATTATGATTTAAATTACATGAGACAATGCCTCTTATAAATGTAATGCAAAAATAATATCTCTTATATATATGGATTCCTATACTCTAATCATATTAAATGTCATTTGTAAAATGTATTTTTTTTAAAAGACAGATTTTATTTAGGATAGACTTTTTAAATGATGACATGAATAGCAGGCCATACTTTAAGCACATGACAAAAACATTCTCTCAAATTACACAGAAATGGGTTATTTAGCATAGCTGACATTAAACATATAGGTGAGGGATAACATAATCACAATTATAAACAATGTGAAACAACTTTAAACGACCTACAAGGTGGATTACAAGCCTTTTTCACTGGGGTAAATTCTTTGCCGAGATTCCACAATGGCCGCCTAATTTACATAGAAAATTACGGCGTACTTGGAGACATAAACATTTTTTGAAAAAAGTGACCTGGTGTTATAACTTGAGAGAAACACACATGTTTACTTTTTTTTTTTTTTTTTGACCTGGTGTTATAACTTGAGAGAAACACAATTTTTTTTTTTTTAAGGTATCTTTTTGAACACACACAAACGTTTCGTTTCTTTGACTGTATTTTAAAAAAGATCATCTTTTTTTTTCTAAGATACAATCGTTTCTTTGACTGTATTTTGAAAAAAAAGAAAATCTTTTTTTTTTCTAAGACACATAACGTTTTTTTTTTTATTGACTGTTTAAGTAGGCATCTTTTCGAAACAATTGGGTAGCCCTTAAAAGGGCTGGTTTGTTAAAAAACACTTTTTGGTTTTTTTTTTTTTTTTTTTTTTTTTTTTTTTTTTTTTTTGAGTTTTTTGGTGGGGCGTCAGGTGGTTTTTACTGGCTCAGTAGTCGCTCACCATCTGCCCCGGGTTCAGGTTACCATCATCCTCGTCGGAATCTGATCGTCGGTCTCTCCGGGGTTCAAATGGTCCTCCCCTCCAAACGGGTCTGTCTGTATTATTCTCTCTCTGTTCCTACATAAGGGGCAGGGTAGGTTCCTCTCTATATCAGGCGGCAGCACATAAATACAGGCTGGCCGCTGCACAGCATCTGCACACAAACAAAATTTCTTCTCTTCATCCGTCTGACACAGAGTGTACACAAATGTCTGAGTGGGGACGGAAATCTCCCAGGGGGGAATCCGTCCCTGGTTCCTGGCCTGGGTCTGGGGGGGGGCAGCAGGTCTGGTGGTGGTGGTGGGGGGGTGGCGACGGGGTGGTGGTGGTCTCTCTCTGTAGGGGTGGGCTCCTCCTCCGATGGATTATTCACTTGAATCCTGGCCATGTTCATCTCATCAATTTCTCTGCCGTTATCTATTCTCCTGAGTGATCAATAGACTTTCAACAACGATTCCCGGAATGAGATAAAAATCTTCATGAAAAAAAAATTTCTTCCTGACATCTTCTTCTTCTTCTTCTTCTTCTTTTTTCTTTCTGCACAAAGCAATCAGCCACGAAGGAATGACACTGAAACCACGGAGGGTCTGTATTTATAAACAATAGCAGACGATACTGCAATTGCGGCAAAACATGGAAAATCCAATCATGTGATCAAATGTGATTGGCTAAAACAAAAAAATCGCTTTTGATCATGTGATCAAAAAAAGCCCCATCACAGTGACGAAGCAAAATTGAAGGGGGAAAGGCCGAACCCGAATGTATATATGACGTCATACAATAACATAACAGTGATGTAGTATTACATGATTTTATTTTATTTCTTAAAAACTAACAAAGCTTCTAACTGTCGAATTCTCCTCCGAAATCGTATTCGATCCGCTACTAGGGCCATCCAGGGACTTCTCCGGTCTTCGGGGGGTAATTCGTAGATTTGATTGAGGCTGGTATTAAAAGTCACGGATTTCCTAGCCTGTGTGAAATTTCCAGGTATTTCATTCCGTATTGAATACATACTTTCTCCATCGCATCTATGTCCTGCCACAGTAAAATCACTTTGCCCGCTTGGGGATGGGTCAGGAAACTGTAAGGCTTTCCGAAATAACGGGTCAGGTTCAGTCCGTACCATTTCTGGGGCAGAATTGTTTTCATATGTCGACATAGAAAATGTATGGTAGCTAGTCTCCCCATGGTCGTCGCATGATGTGATAAGGTTAGGCATTGTAACCATAAATCCTGAAGGGTTTCCATGATAGTGCTCGCTTCCTGAAATACTTGTTCTGCCTCCGGGGGTAGAGATTCTTGGTGGTTTTGTGCCCATCGTACTAAACAATCATACCCATCTAAAATCAGAGAGTGAGTGTGTATCAGGGTTGACATGATAGTCGATTGTGAAGAAAGGACCAGATTTTTCTTCTCATTTATACCCCCAGTATAAAACGTAGGTAAATCGTATTTTTTTTTGCACACGGCCCCCCTACAAGTGATGCAACAGGTATAAAAAAGGTCAAAGGTGCACACGCCCCTGACTTGAATCGCTGCCAAGTATTTACCTGTGTAGTCAGCATATCGTATTTTTTTTGCACACGGGCCCTAAACAAACTTGAATCGCTGCCAAGTATTACCTGTGTAGTCAGCATAAAAAACGTAGGTAAAACGTATTGATGCACACGCCCCACAGCAGGTATATAAAGCGGAGCTGGGATTTGACGATCAGTCTTGCTTGACATTTCGAACTTGACAGACGTGAAAAAAAATATTATGGCAGAAGCAATGATGAATACTCCAGACAACCCCAGCTATGTGACACCTGAAGGGTATGTAGGAGCCCCCATGCCAGAGTCACAGGATGCAGTGGGATTAGATTTGGGCATGTATAATCTTCCAGAATATGCGAATAAAGAAGATATGGGCATATTAAATACAACTCTGGATGGGATTGTTAACATGCTGTCTGCTCTTGACAACAAGATGAATGATATGAACAACAAGGTGAGTGATCTTAACAACAAGCTGAATTATATTGGTGAGAAAGTGCGACATCATGACAACAAGCTGAAATATATTGCTGAGAAGGTGGGTGATCATGAAAACAAGCTGACTGATCTGAAAACTTACAACGCCAGTGAATTTTGTTTGATTCGTGCCAAATTATCCAAATTAGAAGTGAAAGTTACTAACATGCAAGACAAAATGAGAGGAGGAGGAGGAAGCACTTACCAGAAAAAAGAAGGACAAGGGGAATCGGGAGAAAAAAAGAAAACTAGACAGACGGATCCATGCTACATCTGCAAAGAGTTAGGGCATTGGGCCCCAGATTGCCCCAAGAAAGATTTGTGCTACAAGTGCGGGAAATTTGGCCATTGGGCTAATCAGTGTACAGAGGATGAGGAGGATCAACAATTCGTCAAAGAAATACAAAAACTGGAGGAAAAGCCTCAAAAACCCAAGATTTCAGGGACCCACCAGACCAAACCTCCAGTGAAAGAAGGAGACAAAAAAGAGAAAAAGGAACACAACAGAGAGATTCCAGGACCCAGCACTACTCACAAGAGGAAACTATCCCTGATGACCGATAAGGCCCAGAAGAAGAAAAAGTAAATTGTTGTATTTTTTTACTTGAATAAAATCTGTGTTCTTGTTTCTATTGTGTGTTATTGTTTTTTTTTTGTTTTCGGAAAATCACTGTGAATGAGTGACGTCATAATCAAATTCGTGACGTCATAATGCCAAATTCGTTAGTAGCAGCTGCCAAAATCGTAGTATCGTAGTAGCAGCGTATATGTATAATGTAAACACAGTGTAAACACACCCCCGTATTTAGGGGGCTATATGTACTGAATTGATCCCCCCAGGGGCTATCCCCCCACCTATCCCCCCAGGGGCTGCACTCTCTTGACCCACCTATCCCCCCAGGGGCTGCACTCCCTTGACCCACCTATCCCCCCCCCAGGGGCTGCACTCAGTTGACCCCCCTATCCCCCCAGCCCCAAAAGTGCTTGACTCGAAGGACAATGGAGAAGATTCCCTTCGTTGTGACTTATGTGAGACAGAAAAAGGACAGCTGTTTTGTGTTTTTTGCCAAGTCAATCTTTGTACACGGTGTATAGGAGCCCACATGTTGGATGACCCTTTGAAGCATAAGATCGTACTAATCAGTCAACGCAGATCGGTTCCTTCTTTACCAAAATGCGAAATACACGAAAACACGCATTGCGAGTTTCATTGCAATGGATGTGACATCAATATTTGTTCATTTTGTATCTTTTCTGAAATTCACAAAGGACACGTGTTCTCCAGTCTTCTTGAAATATATTCCGCACGAAGGCAGAAGATACAGGAAGATGTTGATAAAATCGAAAATGAATTTTCCCCGGCATATGAAGCTATTATTGCTGAATTGGAAGCTAAAGTCAACAATGCAGATGATGGGTTCTTGAAATTGACTGAAGCAATTTCAAAACATGGGGAAAACTGGCACAAAGAATTAAACATCATAATAGCAGACATTAAACTTGAAGAGCAGACATTAAACTTGAAGTTGGTCATTTGAAAAAAGAACACCTAAAGAAACTACAAGAATGCGTCACTGAATTCAAGCATGCCCATTCTGAACTTCAACAAATAAAGCTCGAATGCTCGGAAATTCTTTGCTCTGGCGATGTACCATTAACATTAATCTACAGACCAGCAAATGAAGACTTGACGAATCCCCCACGAAGAGTTCAAGTGCCAATGCCAATATTTAAACAAAAGGAAATAGACTGCACACAGCTTAGAATCTTGTTTGGATCCCTTTTACCATTTCCCATTACAAAACAGGAAGGGACTTTTAATCGCTCAGCATCTCCAGGGGACACAGAATTCTACACTCCTAGCCTTATCACTTCGATAGACACTGGGTTCGAAACCCTTTACAAAGTTACCTGTAATTGTGATGAAGAAATCTGGGCAAGTGGAGAAGACAGTAAAATAAAATATTTTGATGGTCAAGGATCAACGATCAATGAAATTGAAACAACATCAGAGGACTGGCCTTTTGACATAGCAATGACAAATAATGGCAATTTAGTTTATATAGACGGCGCAAGGAAAACTATTGAGTTGATTAAGAATGGAGAAAGAAAAAGATTGGTCACGCTACTGGAATGGAATCCTGTTGCTATTTGCGTCACTTTAAATGACGAACTCTTAGCTACCATGTTCAGTGACGATAAAACACAGTCCAAAGTTGTCCGATACTCTGGCTCGATCCAAAAACAAACAATCATGTTTGACAACGAGGGAGTACATCTACTTTCAGGAAATGATAAAATTAAATACATATCAGAAAACGGGAACTTGGATATCTGTGTTGCAGACTTCGAAGCTTCTGCAGTTGTGGTAGTCAAAGAGTCTGGGGAGTTTCGGTTTAGATACACAGGTTATCTATTCGCTGCCAAGGAAAGCCCTTTTAAACCCTGTGGTATCGCAACAGATAGTGAAAACCAAATCCTAACAGCAGACTGTGCGAACCACTGCATCCATATCTTAGACCAGGATGGACAGTTCTTACAATACATAGAAGGATGTGATCTGGATCGGCCATGTGGTTTATGTATCGACAAAAACGACAACTTGCTTGTGGCTGAGACGAATGGTAAACTGAAGAAAATCAAGTATAAAGATTAGACACAATGAATGCAACAGGGAACATCTTTAGGATTTATAAAAGTTCAAGCAGTTCTTGATAACTCTATAATACATGTACTGTATTGTGTATTTAAACAAGAGGCCCACGGGCCTTATAGGTCACCTGAGTATTGTGCAACAACTTTCAAACAATTAAATTTGGTTCGTGTTTTAAACCAGAGGCCATGAAATTCACAATTTTGAAAGAGGCACCATTGCTTATCATAATTATAGACTTAGCATGCTTACTGATCCGTGTTAGAATAGGTCCTCAGTACCCTTTGCTTGTCGTAAAAGGCGACTAAATGGGGCGGTCCTTCGGATGAGACCGTATAAACCGAGGCCCCGTGTCACAGCAGGTGTGGCACGATAAAGATCCCTCCCTGCTCAAAGGCCGTAAGTGCCGAGCACAGGCCTAAATTTGCAGCCCTTCACCGGCAATGGTGACGTCTCCATATCATTGAAATATTCTGGAGAGGGACGTTAAACAGTATACAATCAATCAATCAATGTATTTACTTAATACCCAAAGGTAGATCAGAGTAACAAAGAGAAAATGCACTTCCACTTTATAAGCAGTTGTGCACATCATCCCAAAGGAACCACTGACCTTGGGGCCACATATTTCAAAATTTTGCAAATTTTATCATAAAGTGGTTAATTAATACCAAAGAGCAGATTTCAAAACATTAATTTATTTTCAGACTATGTACCCCCCCCCCCCACCCCTGACCCAGGAGGGGGCATAAAAAATAACCATTTTGCTAAAAGCACCTTTCTACATCATAAATATTTATTCTTGGATCATTGGCGTAAAACCCAGGAGCAAATGAAAGATTTTCAAAGAATTAATGTATTTTCACTATATAATCAATAGATCCCCACCCTAACACCAGAACCCCTAACCTTGGGGCCATAAAATTCACAATTTTGGAAGAGGCACTCTTGCTCATCATAACTATATACTTGGTCAGTTTATTTAATACCCAGAAGCAGAGAAGAAGATTTTCAAAGAATTAATCCATTTCCACTATATGATCAATAGAGCCCCACCCTAACACCAGAACCCCTGACCCTGGGGCCATAAAATTCACAATTTTGGAAGAGGCACCCTTGCTCATCATAACTATGTACTTACTTAGTTTAGTTAATACTCAGAAGCAGAGAAGAAGATTTTCAAAGAATAAATGCATTTTCACTATATAACCAATAGAGCCCCGCCCTAACACCAGAACCCCTGACCCCCGGGGCCATAAAATTCACAATTTTGGAAGAGGCACTCTTGCTCATCATAACTATGTACTTAGTTACTTAATTTAATACCCAGGAGCACAGAAGAAGATTTTCAAAGAATTAATCCATTTTCACTATATAATCTATGTAGCCCCGCCCTAGCACTAGAACCCCTGACCCTGGGGCCATTAATTTCACAATTTTGGTAGAGGACTCAATGCTCATTACATTCATGCCAACAGTTTGCCTGCTTGATGTCCAGGAGTAAAGAAGATTTTTAAAGATTACAATAATTTTTGTGGTTTTGGCCCCACCCCTCAGGCCCCAGGGGGGCGGGGACCATAAAATTCATAATTTTTGTTTCCCTTAACCCATAGATGCTGTATACCAAATTTGGTTGAAATTGGTTCAGTGGTTTCAGAGAAGAAGCTGAAAATGTTCAAATGTTAACACACGACGTACGACACACGACGACGGACGAAAACGGATAGCAACAGGTCACCTGAGTTACTCAGGTGACCTAAAAAAAAAGTGAAGATGTCGTCCTTGAACGCTTGGATGACGTTCGTACGCTAGCCTAGGACTGGAACACTCTGTGATTTAAAAACACTAAACGTAACGTTTTTGAATAATTTTTAAAAGGATAGTGGTCTTCTTCGGATACTTATCAACTTGTGATCAGTAAAAAACATCACTTGTGGGTAACCGATGATGAACTACTAGTAATTATCACCACATCTCGATGTTGTTTTAATTTATATATATATATATATATATATATATATATATATATATATATATATATATATATATATATATATATATATATATATATAAGCTTAAGCTTTGTTTTTCGAAATGTAAATATTATAAAGACAATCAACCATCTTCTGTGTGATGCACTGGTGAGAGGCTTAAAAAAGAATATAAACATTAATGAATCAATAGAAAAAAATGAATGTATGAAAATTTCAATCAATGCTTGTGAACCTTTGCTTCAAAGATGAAATCCCTGGAACTTGTTTGCATTTAGCAGATAACATGATTTAATCAAAATATTAATTATCCTTTTGAAGATAATACATGTAGTTGAACGAGAAGAAAACACTTGCTCTGGCCTTCTACTTGACATTTCAATACCGGTATATCGAAGACGTATTTTCAATTAACAATGTTTACTTCCATTCATACATGTATGTCGACTTTATATATCCAAGTGTGCTTGAAAAAATATACCACAAATCCTGACTAATTTGTTTTATATTTGAATATTTTACTAAAAAAGACGTTAATGGTAAACTAACAATAAAGCTGTCTGATTTAGATAACAAGATGACATCAACTTTTCAATTGTCAACTTCTCTTACTTTTGTAGCAATATACTATTATCACCTACAGTGACCTACCTGTGGAGTTTATATCTTTCGGTTGATTCGATACTCAAAAGCCACTCGAACCACGCCGGACGATTCGAACCTCATCTACCGTTTGATGAAGGCGTTGGAATCAGTCGAGGTTTGTCGAATGACACAAGGACATGAAGAATGTCTTAAACAAGACAGGCAATTAACAAACAGGTTGATAAAACAGGATACTAGTATTAACAATCCTCTTTAAAGTCATCATTTTACAAGTTCTATGGACGATATAATGATTTTTCAACATGTAAAACCTATCATTAAGACAAATGTTAATTTACGTTTTTAATATTTATTGTAAGGCCTTTATTTACACATCGACTTGAGAACGGATTTTCCCGTTTTATCCGATCATGA